CCTACAGGGTGGTATGATCACAAATAAGATGTTGTAGCATTAAGTTCAAGCACTTAACCATCCTTTGTGGATCTAACCCAAAGCCACTTTTGAAAACAAGATTTAAGGCTTCTGAAACTTCTACCCTGTGCTCCAGGAGCAGGTGCTCAGATACATGGAAATTACTTACTAGGTCTTTTGACATTTCTCTTCAGTGCATTAATTCAGCCAGGGCATTGATATGCATATGCTTTAGCAAAAAGAACTCTCAGGTTCATGCCCATTTTCCAGACATGATCTTGCACTGGATACCTCCTGCCTATGCAATGTATGTTTATGTACATTATTATTTTTTATCTTTTCCAGAAGTCCCTAATAAAATAAACCGTGAAGCCAAACATCTTGCAGATGCCTCAGGATCAGACAAAACAGAAAGAGCAACAAAAAGGTCCAGAGTATCAACCATAAGGAGGATATTTGACATGGCAAAACACCGAACAAAGAGGTCACCCTTTTTTTCAACTGGTGTGAAAATTTGCCCACAAGAATCAGTGAAGCAGATTTTAGCCAGTCACCAAGCTTACTATAGATTAAGAGGTAAGACAATGATTGTAGCATGTACTTCCTCATTGAAAGTATTTCTTTTAAGTGGGGCAGCATTTTAATTTTCCAGAATCTTATTCTTTAGATCTAGGCAGCATGTTTGCTGTTTGCTTTATGCTTTGTTTTTACATAGATAATCAAATGTTACATGTACATCAACATGGTTCAAGACAAACAACTACCAGAACAGAATAAAGCAGTACATTCAAAGCACAAATGAACTCAGCATAATATCATACTGTTCTAGCATGACAGAATGTGAAGACCAAATTATGCTTGCACTACTGTGTAAAGATGTACTGTTTCCTTTCTCACAAGTGCAGCAGGTTCCATCATTTACTACTCAGAATGAATGCCACCAGCTCAAGACAAGTAATGAAGCTATTCATAGGTCATTGCACAAATATACTGGTGTATCTTCAGTTATATAAAATCTGTGGCAGTGTTGGTATACTATAAACACTGAGATAATTGTCAGCAGCTCATGCAAAGACTTTAGTCTTATGTTTCCAAAGTCTATAATGTTTTTTTCTGTCCCTTCCCAATTAATTCATTCCCTCACCAGCCCTTTCTTTACATTTCTTGATTGTAGAGAGCCTATAGTTACCACAAGAATTTTAGGCCCCTGAGAGCATGGTGCAAATAGCCCTGTTTTTTTTATATTTCTTCTCTTCCTCCCCACACCTCTTCTGGTCTGGCTTTCTGTGGCTGATCCAATTTGTATTAGAAAAACATATGGTTTTGTGCTGCAGCTAGACAGTCCAAAGCTAATTCTAAAACCAAGTCAGCACTTCTGGGATGCAAGGATCTAAGGCAAAATCTACTCTCTAAATCAACTTTGCTTATTTGTATTCTATACTGGTCTCCAACCATTCACATACATGAATGTAACTTGCCTGCTTATCATCTCTCTTTCAGGAAACCAGCTAGTTCCCTCTGAAATTAAACCTGGAAGTAGAGCTGCAAAAATTTTACTCCAACAGCCACTTGCTATAGGCAACATGGTCAAACTGCACCAATGTCTGTAACCATTCCTATAGATACATATTTAGTATCCTTTATAGGACCGAATTCCAACCCATGGGGCATTAAGCAGAATTCTACAGTGTGTTAAAGAGGCAGATCCAGAAAGCTTTTCTTTTATACTAATTAATTTTGCAAGTCCCTAAAACTCACTGTTTATATCGCTGGTTGGGCTGAAAATAAACTATCCTGAGTCAGGCTGGTATCATTAACCTGAACACAAAGAACTACAACTGTGAGATTTTAATTTAAAATCTGATTATGACAATGCTACCAACTTTTTGGAGAGCAGCACATCAGCTGGGATATTGTCCTCTGTAGGTCTTGTAGTGCAGGCAGGTTTAAACTTACATTTCCTCTTACCCAGCAAAGTGTCCTACACTCATCCAATTCTCTAAGTAGGTGTCATCCAGTTCTCCAACTGAAGCTGGAGTACTTCCCAAAAAGTAAGCAAGACAACAGGTGACAGCAGCTGAATAGCTTTTATACTCATTCAGAAAAAGGTGTTTCTGCTCCCTTAAATAGTTGCACATTTTCTGTTACAATGCCCTTTGTTAAAATCTAAAAATATCTTTCCTTCAAAGAAAGATCAGGACCCAAGAGTTCTGCCCTCCCAACTGAGCATGCTAATTTATCTGATGAAAGTAGACAACGAAAAAAAAAATCTCAAAGTAAAAATGTGGTGAAGCGAGCGTTGTCCTTGAAGCTGTAACCACAGTACAAGCCATCATGACAAGATAATCTGGTAGCCACACAGAAGTCTTACATCTTGTGCCTATCTGTGGACAGTCTTACCTTTATTTTGTTTTCTAGACATACCTTTAGATCATTCTTTTCTGTATCTAAAGCCTAGGAGATGTCTTGCACTCCTGCAAATCCCATGACACATTACAAACTGTAATAGCACTGTAACAGCACCTCTCCTCTAGAGATTTTTATTGCTTCTTAAGAAAAATTACTCATTTCTTAAAGATGTATATATATATATTCTATGCTTTCAGGAATGAGCACACAACATAAAGCAGCTCAGATACAGGAGCTCAGACAGCTGCTATTGGATAACCTGAGCCTGCTGTGACCCTATACCACCTCTGAAATAACACTCTCTAGCTTAAGTCACTCCACATGTGGGGCAAACCGGGAGCATGCATGGAATCAGCTGCAACGCCTCCTCAGCTGGCCATGTGTCATGTTTATCTAAACCCTGGTAATTGGATTACTTTTCATCAGGTAGTACATCTTTATTCAGCAGTTACTGCTCAGAAAAACAAATACCAGAGAATGGTGAGAGAAAGATAATGGAAAGTAGCCTTAACTGCTAGCTCAAAATGAATAAATGTCTCCAAAAGACAGCCTGTTACTTTTTAATAATCTGACCAAATCTGCTCCACATGCAGCTGCTCTACTGGGAAGGAAGGTTGTTTCTGAGGTATTACTGAGGTGGCCTGCCATGGCTAGGTGAGCACACCCCTGCAGCAAATTTAGAGAACATGTAGAGAAACTGATTGCACTAATTTCAGAGACACCAACATGTTAGATAATGCAGATAACTATCTCACTCTAAACCAAAGCGAGTATCAAGTACACATCACAGTAATGAACTTTGCAGAGTGAAGTGCTAAAGGCAAGAGCTTTTAAATTGCTAGCAAGCCTTTGTTAAAATGGCTTTTTCTAGTATGTTTGAAAATCTCCTCTTCTAAAAGCATTTAAATTTAAACAGCATTTTGAAGAAGAGTCATCCTTCATCTTGAGTGAGTGTACACTATATTTTTAAAGCCAAAAATACTGCTAACTTTTTTGACTCTAACAATACCAGATGAATCAACAAGTAGAGACAGAGACAGCCACCCATGAATAGTAAGGCAGAGTGATAGCTGAGATATGCTGAACTGGTCCTTTTCAGAACACATTGGTTCTAGCTGTGAGCCATGCTGGTTGTCCTACACCACTCCAGAGGAAAACATGCACACGTGATTTCAACGTAAAAAAAAAAAAAAAAAAAAAAAAAAAAAAAAAAAGGGGGGAAAAAATGAATTTGGGAGGG